GAATACTCTGCAGATGGATTTTGGGCTCCCACCACCCTCTTTAGCCTTCTACAAATTGGGTCCAACAAATTTTTGAAAGCTACTTTCAACTCTCACGGCCATTAAATCGATTCCAACTCATAAAGGCCCTATAGGACAGGGTAGAATTGGCCTGTGGGTTTCTGAGACAGATTATGGGAGTAGAAAGTTATCTGTCTCCCATGAGATGGCTGGTGGTTTTGAACTGCCGACCTTGCAGTTAGCAGCACAAAACGTAACCACTGTGCAACCAGGGCCCCATGAAAACCACTTGAGAGTCTCACTTTAATGAGGCATTAATGGGGCACAGAAAGGATGGTGATCTGCTCCTGCAGCCTAGAACCCTGATGTCGTTCCCACACCGCTCAACACTGTGTGGAAAGGCAGGTTAGTGCGCTTTAATGCAGCGGGAAGCGCTCTGCGAGGCCGGAGCCACAGCGCCCGGTGCTCGGTCCGGACTCTTCCCCGAGTGGCCACGAGGGGGCGCGCCAGGCCCGCGGCTCGCTCAGCGCCGGCCCTACGGTCCAGAGAGCAATGCGTCCGTCGCCTTGGAAACGGAGGCGTGTCCGGTAGGTCTTGGGAATGGTAGCCCGAGCTCCTGCTAGGGGCTGGTACCCGGGAATCTGCATCTGGAAATCTCTCGGGGTGGGGTGGGGGGGGTTGGCCAGGAGACACTTACCCTAACTCCTTCCAGTGCGACACTAAAGACTTTCCACTGAGCCTCTCCACCTCCCACCGCCCCGTAGCACGTGTTAGAGGCCCAGGCTCGCTCTGTACACGCTGGGCCTAGGGTGGTGCCCTCATGGTCTCTACTGTGAGGGGTTCTTGTCCCCTCTCCTGGGGTCAGAGAGGGAGGCAGGTCTTTTTAGGTCTGATCCACATAGTAACCCCGCTCTTTACCGCTTTGCAGTTGTGCCCTTAGATGTGTTGCTTGCTTCTGCTAGATCTTCTCCCGGGGGCAGGATCTGAATTTGGTTCAGGTTTGTAACTCTCCTGGGGAGAAAGATGAGGCCTTGGGCGCTTGTAAAGGGTAACAGTCTCAGAAACCCAAAGGGGCAATCCTAGGCTGCCCTATGAGGTCGCGATGAGTCGATGAGTCGTCATTAACTCGATGGCAGTGAGTTTTAACCCTCAGGATGCTCCACACAGTCCCTAACACACAGGATGCTCCACACAGTCCCTAACACACAGGATGCTCCACACAGCCCCTAACACACAGCATGCTCCACACAGTCCCTAACACACAGGATGCTCCACACAGTCCCTAACACACAGGATCTCCACACAGTCCCTAACACACAGGATCTCCACACAGTCCCTAACACACAGGATCTCCACACAGCCCCTAACACACAGGATGCTCC